TCTACCTAACATGGCCCAGAATGACCCTCTCCATTTAGCCTTGAGTCCTGTTACTTGTGATCTAAAAGTTGCAGTTTTCATGTATTCCAACATTGAGGCTTTCCTGATCTCACTCCAGGGAATGCATCACTGGAGTAAACATTATGATATTACTGCAAGGTTACCTCTTTGCTGCTATACTAGCTAGTGCAACTGTAACAGGAAACACAACAGAGAGAGTGAAATGGGTCCAGGATTGTGAAGTACCAAGAGTTAAATATCTCACAAGACTGATTCCAATCAATTAACAATAGGAAAAGAAGAATTTTTACTTGTCAATGTTATTCCTGCTTGTTGGACGGACTAACTGTTTGTATGTCTCTCTCCCACACTCTCATCTCCACAAAGGTCACTGAAATAGAAGGAAGGGAGTGCATAGGACATATACTTTCACAATACCAATGACAGGAGGAGAGGAGCACACAAATAGGAGGCTTCTATCATTACTTTAATTGCTGCTTAATCTCTGAGCCTGTCCTTTCTAAAGGAAGAGTTTGACCTTTTAGCTTACTCAGGGATAAAGACCTATCACTAGTCTCCTCAGATTGCCTCTGCTAATGATGGTGTCAGCAAAATGCAAGAGCACTAAAATGGCTAAACAACTTCTCATAAGAGGAACACTTCTTGCCTTCTCTTTGTTATGCTTTTCAATTGAAAATAAAATTGCTCATCTTCAATAAAAAACAAAAACAGGAGACTTAAAGGACATGGGAGAAAAAGTGGGAGAAAGATTCAAACCTTGGCACCAAGAATTCAGTGAAGCTTATCATTTGCATTAATAAAGACTCTTAAATAGGTTCTCAGTGCACTTGAGAAACATGAATACTAGAAGATTCACAACAGACTTAGGATGTAGGGAAATATCGTCATTTTACAGATGGTGAAATGCCTTCCTAACATGGCCCACAATGACTTTCTCCACTTGGCTTTGGCTCCTGTTACTGGTGATCTAAAAGCTGCAGTTTTCATGTATTCCATGAATATTAAGTGACTTACCCAGACTCACAGCAGGTCAGTGGTAGAGCCAAAACTAGAACCCATCTCTCATGGCTCTAGGTCTTATGCAGATAGCCACAATAAAATATTATTGGTTCTGCTGCCTGACACTCAGAGCAACTATGTGCCTAACAATCCAGAAAAGGGTTTTATATGGTTCCTGGACACAAATAAATAAATAAATGGAGATATCCTATCTCCTAGAACTGGAAGGGACCTTGAAAGGTCATTGAGTCCAGCCCCCTGCCTTCACTAGCAGGACCAAGTACTGATTTTGCCCCAGATCCCTAAGTGGCCCCCTCAAGGACTGAACTCACAACCCTCGGTTTAGCAGGCCAATGCTCAAACCACTGAGCTATCCCTCTCCCCTCATTATTTTGAATGAGGGAAGGATTTTATTTCACCAGTCCATTCACTAATTTTTTAATCAAAGGCTCATTTTTTAAGACGAGCTTGTGATAACTTTGACTTCTCAAAAGAATATGAATATACTGTAACAATACTATTATGGTAGGAGTTGTGTGAATCTTCATTGATGCTGGTGGGCATAGTAGCCACACCCTTCATTCAGGATAAATTTAAGAAGCGGTTCAGTGTCTTTGTAGAGAAAGATAGCTGAAACAGTAACAGCCACTGTCCAAAAGAGAAGCCACATGCAAGGTCAGTCAGGAGCTAAGCTATGTGGGCAGAGGGGTTAACTGGGCACTGAATGCAAATGCAGAGGCCTGTGTATTATTTTGGTGGAACCATATGTGTAGCAAATGAAGCAAGAAACATCTCAGAAGCAGATGGAGAAAGCAGCAAAAGAAGTACTTACGGAAAAGCTAATTACCACCTGCGGAAAAGCTAAGAAAAAGAGCACTTCTGATATGGAGAGCAGCTTGGAATATGGAGCAAGGAAATTGTTTCCTGTTTGATTCCTATTGGCTTCAAGGAAACAGGACTTTGTGCACAGTCTTTGTATCAAGGAAGTCTCCATCCTAACACAAGCAACTAAGATGACCCCAAATACTTGCAAACCACTTGGATCAAAATGGGTAACAATACTAAACTAAATCCAAGCTGTTAATTTTACCAAGACGGACCTCTCTCTTACTGCTTCCTGAAAATCCATTAATCATTCTTACAAAAAGAAATCAGAGCAGTGTCATCCAAATCAGAAGAGAGATGCAGTGAGAATAAAAAATTCTTTACTTTGAAACAATGAATTTTACACATCGCTATAAACCAGCCAATAAAGAGGTATATAGAAATGTACAGATTTCTTTTACAAAATATTGGTTTCTTGTTCTGGCAGAAATGTGAGAGAAGATAAGATATTTCAAGGTACCATTAAAAGATCTTTTTAAAAAAATCAAATATAGTACAGCTAGAACAATACAAAGATTCACAGAGATTCAGGTTTGAGATTAATGTCACCCTGTCTGGATGGGGTTTTATTGAACAGATTCTGGCATAGCCCAAATTGAAACTAATTTGGCAAAAAGTGTGTTTTTCATTCCATGCAGTTTTGCAAGAAGTAAATTTATAAACATAATACCCCATAGTACAAACAATACAGAGTAACTCCAATGGGTCAGTAAGAGCTCTCTGCTTCTGGACAGTACAATCCTCTTTCTCTTGTCTGAAAGTAATCATTTCTTTAAGGTGTTGATCTTAAATGGACTCCACTGCATGTAATTTGCTCCCAGCTGGCAATGCCTTCCTGCATAGCCTTCAAAACCAAGCTGACAATTTATATTCAAAACCCCAGTGTTGTCTGGGTCCTGGTTGGCTTGGTGGGCCTTCTTCCTATCAATGCCATTGAGGTTTGGTGTGGTATGGTTTCAGGGTCCCCTCCCTGGGATACACCCTATCACATACCTCTCCCATAGATTAGGTCCAGGAGCCTGATCCCTTTAGATCACAGCTTTTCTACATTCTCAGGAGAGAAAATCTGAATTCAGGTGTCCTCAAGTTACGTAGGACTCAAAATGTACAGCTACAAAGAGAGGAAATGCAGTACGAACTGAAGATTGGAAACTTTCATGATGTGTTGCCAGTGCACAGGGGGCATAGTCAGTTACCAGAACAAAAAAGAGGGCCCCAAGAGATAACACCAGAGAGCAACCAATACCTACCTGACATTCTAATATTCTTTTCTATAGTGGATAATCTAGCCTCATGGAGTTGGAGCTTCTTGGTGAATATTTCATCACAGAGTGGAGTCCAATACATCTATGTTGGGACCATTGCTTTGCTAATGTTTGTTAAGGGAAAGACCCAGGTGGCAAAATTGAGTATGATTCACTAATTGTGTGCAGTCTGTCCCATAAAGGTCCAAAACCGTTCCTAACTTATGGACAGGATTCTTTCTGAGGACCTCCATTTTGTTGGGGGGGGGGGAGGGAGCAGAAGTGGAGGCTGAATTTGCCCATTCAGTACCCCAAGTTACACGTTTCCTTATCTTAAAATTAAATTTCTTCATCACAAAGCAGTATATCAAACTTGAAAGTAAAACACATTCCATTCCTATATAGCTTTACTCACAGACCTAAACAACACTGATACTAAGCTCCATGATACAAACAGTGCCAATGAAAAATGAATAAATAATTTAACCCTAAAATAAACAGCACAGGTCATTCTGACAAGAGCAGATCAAAACCAGGAAGCTAGATTAATAGCCTAGAGAGTGCAACACAGAAGCTTCACTCTAGCAGACTATGAGCCAAATTCAGTGCTGATGCAAGCAGGTGCAATTCCTTTAATATCCCATTGATTTCAGACCCTACTAATGGATAACTTTTCTTTTTAGTGGGAGTTTTGACTGAGAAAGGTCTTCAGGGTACAGGCTTTATGACCCACAATGCCTAGAGAACAAAACTTTACTTTTCTTCCCTGAAAAAGCAGGGTGTTGCAAAGAAAGAAAGAAAAATGGACTAGAAATATAAGAACAAGTCTTGTGAGATTTCCAGTACTTCTGGGCTTCAGATGGGTCAAATACCACCAGAATAGGGATGTCCTTAATATTTCACCTAAAACTAGTAATTTCAGAGTCATAGAAATTTAGAATTTAATTTAAATTTAATACTTTTTTGAACTGCAGAATTGAGTTCAGCTTGGTTTCAGGGCTGGTGAAGACTAGAGTCATTTCTTTTTACAGACAAACTGATTTGCCCATATCTCCTTGTGACAGGAAAGCTGCTAGGCTGTAGAAGTTAGAAAGCAAAAAGAAAATGTAAAGGAATGCTTTAAAAATATTTCTTCCTGCTGTTCTCTCCCAGTACTGAAGAAACTGTAAACATAAACAATCATTCCATGACAAGGACAATAAGTACTTCTGATCAGAAATTATGTGTAAATTCATTAAGGAGTAGATGAGTGGTTCCAACCTTTCTGGATAAATGTACCATTTTGCCACTCTAAGACATTTGCTGTACCAGCCAGTTCCCACCACCTCACATTCAACATGCAATGCTTTGATCTGCCACAGATCTTTGGCTGATTCAACCCCCAGTCTTACACCAGAAGCAGAAACCTGCATGTGTTAATGCCAAGAACAAGACAGTTAAAGAGAAAAAAAAAAAAGCTTGCACCACTTTACTCCATTTTTGTCAACTCTTCCTTATTTAATTTTCAGTATCAGTAGCTATTCATTCTCTCCTCAATAGCTGCATAAGTTTGATTTTTCAAAGGAAATGTATCTTGGTGGTTAAAGGGACACTATCAAAGTGAGAAACCCAAAATGTGACCTAATTTATTTTCTTATACCTGTTTCCAGAGTCCATGTAATTCCTTGTGTTTATGTGTTTGTGGATTGGAAGAATTTCAAATTAAATGTTTCAATATCTTTTTTGTTTTAAGAAAAGTCAAAAAGAAAATAGATTCCAGTTTCAAGTTTCAAAGTAGTATAAAATATATTTTCAAAATTAGGAAAATGTCCTTTTATCTGAAAAGATTTAAGATGAAGGTGCTTTTCTTACCTCTCTAAGATGTATGTTTTCCTTCTCCTTCTGGTCTAAAATCACTTCTAAATGATTAACCTGAGATTCAGCCTCGGCCATCCTTCGAGCTCTTTCGTTGTCATCTTCCATTCCTTTGGATGGCAAACCTTTACTTTGCAACATTTCTAGAAGCTTTTTTATTGATTCATCTCTGGCATTTAGTGTTTGCTTTTGTGTTTCAATTCTCAACTCCATTTCTTCTAGAGTTTTTCTCAAGAGAAAGAGCTCTTTAGCCTGTCTATCATGTTCTGCCTGAAGTCTTCGAAAGTTCTCCTCTGTAAGCTCAATAGTAAAATGCTCAGTTCCTCGGTTTCCGCTTTCTTGTTGAAGAAGATGATTAAGGTCTCTCTGAGTCCGAAGCTCATCTTGAAGTGCCTGGATGGTCAGTTGCAAATGCTATAATACAAAAAAAATAAGGTAAATGAAGGATCTAAATGTAGTTTTTCTTCTGTTAATCTACTTGTAGGTAAAGGTACAAAAGTTAATAGACTCAGTGATGATTCTACCATATAAAAATGTCAAATGCATCTGTGACAAAATACTTGTAATGAAGGTTTTCAACTGCTACTGGAAAAATATAAAACATGGATGGAAACACAAACACAAAATAGTGTCAGTTACAGGTAAAATTAATGCTTAATAAAACTAGGCAGTGAAGAGAAAGTGAACTGTTGCAAAAATCTCAAAGTGACACAACCACTAGTACACTTTGTGCCTATAAACTTGAAGACGCAGTATTCCTTGTTTTCTAAGTTGTTTCATATACTAGAAGTAATTCTGCCTTCCACTTTTTTCAATGGTACTGCTCATGCTATAATGCAAATCATAGTCATCCCCATAAATAAAAATTAATAGCTTTATTTGCAAAAAAATAAATAAATGAACAACTTTAGTAAACAGGATTACTGCATCTCAAACAAACAAAAATAGAACAAATGATAAGCAATACTGAATTTTGCAAAACAAATTGACTGCAAAAAGAGGACAAACCTTTGTTCTCCTGGCATCCAAAAACTGAACAGCATGGTAAATGAAAAAATGAAGCAAAATCAACATAAAGAAAGGTCAAATGCAAGCAAAGAATATTTAACAGAAAGAACTGAATTCAACATAAAGTACTTTCAACAGAAAAAAATCATTTCATTGTGTTATACAGTATAGCACTGACAACTTTATAAGAATTTAAACATATCACTCTAAAGCTATGATGTACTCTAGCCAGTGGATATATTACAAATGAATTTATTAGTGTTCCAAAAGTTGTAATTCCATCATTGAATAAAGACGACTTGTTTCCTTCTAGATTACCATATATTTCTACACTGCAGATTGTCCTTAAGTATTTTGTACCTCCTGTACTCTGCCTGAATAAAGTCGTTTTCTATTCACTGATAGTCAAACCCTGCAGTCCTTACTAAAGGCAGAGTCAGTAGGAGATTTGCCTAAATGAAGACTAGATTTGGCCACAAGTAATTGTCCCAAATTGTTATAGTTTATGGTATAACTTCAGATTATATTGTTATTTGCAGTTTTCACAGCAGTTAATAATTCCCCTATATTCATGAAATTGTCTAAACAATGTACTAAACTTCATAAAAATATAAACTTTTAGATAGTCATATGGTCCAAAACAAAAGCTTTTCAATCTCAGCAAGCATATCAGTGAGATTCTGATCATTTGGAAACATGGCACCATATATTTTAATCCTAATGCACTTTCTGAAGCTCCTCAAGTTCTCATATAAAATCACTGATAAGTAAGGCTGTTGATTAATCGCAGTTAACTCACATGATAAACTCAAAAAAATTAATCATGATTAATTGCAGTTTTAATCGCACTGTTAAACAATAGAATACCAATTGAAAATTATTAAATATTGTGGATGTTTTTCGACATTTTCAATTATATTGATTTCAGTTACAACACAGAATACAAAGTTCACAGTGCTCGCTTTATATTATTTTTATTACAAATATTTGCACTGTAAAAATGATAAAAGAAATAGTATTTTTCAATTCACCTCATACAAGCACTGTAGTGCAATCTCTTTATCATTAAAGTGTAACTTACAAATGTAGATTTTTTTGTTACATAACTGCACTCAAAACCAAAACAATGTAAAACTTTAGAGCCTACAAGTCCACTCAGTCCTACTTCTTGGTCAACCAAGCAATAAGACAAACAAATTTGTTTACATTTACAGGAGAAAATGCCGGCCACTTCTTATTTAGAATGTCACCTGAAAGTGAGAACAGACATTCACATGGTAGGGTTGCCAACTTTCTACTCACACAAAACCGAACACCCTTGCCCTGCAACTGCCCCGCCCCTTCTCTGAGGTCCTGCCCCCCACTCACTCCATCCCCCCTCCCTGTGTCGCTCGCTCTCCCCACCCTCACTCGCTCATTTTCACCAGGCTGGCTCAGGGGGTTGGGATACAGTAGGTGGTGAGGGCTCCGGCTGGGGGTGCGTGCTCTGGGGTGGGGCCAGAACTGAAGAGTTCAGGGTGCAGGAGGGGGCTCCGGGCTGAGGTAGGGGGTTGGGGTGTGGGTGGGCTCTGGGCTGGGGATGTGGGTTCTGGTGGGCAGAAATGAGGGGTTATGGGTGCGGGCGGGGGCTCCGGGCTGGGGGAAGGGGTTAGGGTGTGCGGTAGAGGGGGTGGACTCCAGCTGTGGGCTTTGGTGTGGGGCCGGGGATGAGGGATTTGGGGTGTAGGAGGGTGCTCCGGGCTAGGACCAAGGCTTCAGAGGGCGGTAGGGGGATCAGGGCTAGGGCAGGGGGGTTGGGCGCGAGAGGGGGTCAGGGATGCTGGCTCTGGGTGGCACTTACCTCAAGCAGCTCCTGGAAGCAGTGGCATGCCCCACCTCCCCCGGCTCCTACATGGAGACGAGGCCAGGCAGCTCTGCGCGCTGTCCCATCTGCAGGCACTACCCCCATAGCTCCCATTGGTCATGGTTCCCGGCCAATGGGAGCTGCAGAACTGGTGCTTGGGGCGGGGGCAGAGTGCAGAGCCCCCCAGCTGCCCCTATGCGTAGGAGCCGGAAAGGGGGCATGCCATTGCTTCTGGGAGCTACATGGAGCCACGGCAGTCAAGAAGTCTGCCTGAGCCCTGCTGCGCCGCCACCCGGACTTTTAACGGCCCAGTCAGCAGTGCTGACCAGAGCTGCCAGGTTCCCTTTTCGACTGGGAGTTCTGGTCAAAAACCAGACACCTGGCAATCCTATCACATGGCACTTTTGTAGCCGGCACTGCAAGGTATTTAGGTGCCAGATATGCTAAACATTTGTTTGCTCCTTCACGCTTTGGCCACCATTCCAGAGGACATGCTTCCATGCTGATGATGCTCATTTAAAAAAATAATGCATTAATTAAATTTATGACTGAACACCTTGGGGGAGAATTGTATGCCTCCTGCTCTGTTTTACCCACATTCTGCCATATATTTCATGTTTAGCAGTCTCAGATGATGATCCAGCACAAGTTGTTCATTTTAAGAACACTTTCACTGCAGATTTGACAAAAAACAAAGAAGGTACCAATGTGAGATTTCTAAAAATAGCTACAGCACCAGACCCAAGGTTTAAAAATCAGAAGTGCTTTCCAAAATCTGAGAGAGAAGAAGTGTGGCACACGATTTCAGAAGTTCTAAAGAGCTACACTCTGATGCGGAAATTCAGAACCCAAACCACCAAAAAAGAAAATCAACCTTCTGCTGGTGGCATCTGATTTAGATGATGAAAATGAACATGCGTCGATCCACACTGCTTTGGATGGCTATCGAGCAGAAACTGTCATCAGCATGGACGCATGTCCTTTGGAATGGTGGTGAAGCATGAAGGGACATATGAATCTTTAGCACATCTGGCATGTATATATCTTGTGACACCAGCTACAACAGTGCCATGCGAATGCCTTTTCTCACTTGTCATGGTGGTCTCACTGAAGGGGAAACCCTGCTTTGTCCCTGCAGCCCTGATGGATGCATGAGAAAAATATCACAAATCAGGTCCAGCTAAAGCCTAATACAGCTCTTTGCATTCTCTTAGGCTTGGTCTACACTAAACCCCCAAATCGAACTAAGGTACGCAACTTCAGCTACGTGAATAACGTAGCTGAAGTCGAA